TTCTTAGCAACTTCACGGCTTTTGTACTACATGCTACCACCAAAGCAAGCACATATGGTGCTCAGCTCCTACCTGGATGCCTCCTGGGCCACAGGTCTTCTCTGGTTTTCATCTGGTCCTCTTGGCAGAGGATTTGCACATTCACCACTTTCAACATTCCTGCTTATCTTCCCTGTACATTAGCAGGGAAGATAATCAGTTGGATAATCAGCAGATGACAAACTTCATGAGTTTAAGTTTCTGTAGAATCCCTCCACTTCTCCCAGTCACCAAAACTCCTAGTACTCACCAAAACACTTCTTATGTCTATCCCATAGACACAGAAAGGACATGGCCTGCTGGTGCCCCCTTCAGAAATTGTTTTCATTACGTTATTCCCAGCTCTGCTGGGTGTAGCAAATATGCCCAGTTATCTGCAAACATCTACCGCTATCTTAACCAACATCTTGTCAGAGCCTATTTCTCCTGTTCACACCTAACTCCAAATTTACTTGTGTGACAGCTTCAGAGAAGCCCTGATGACCTCACAAACAGGCTGTCATAGGATGTAAGAAATTGGAGGCCTTTGACTGTACTCTCTCTCCGCTTCTGTTTAAGATGAACTATTAACAGTCTTCTAGCCTGTTATATTCCCTTAAAATTCTGATAACTGAAGATATCCTTGAATAGTCCCTTTGCTGACAGGTTCTGTCATACAACAGTGTCATGGCTTAACCCCAGCTGGCAGCTAGGACCACACAGCTGCTCACGCAGTTCTCCCCCTCCCCCAGAAGGGCAGGGAGAAGAGGGAGAAAAGGGGGGGAAAGGAAAAAAACCTTCTGGGTTGAGAAATACAGTTTAGTAGAACAAGGACAGAAAATAACAACAACAATAATAATAATAAGAATGACACAAGTCACTCTCACCACCCAGTGAATCGGTACTTTCCCAAGCAGTGACTCTGGATTCTCCCCCTACCCCTGGCCAATCCCCATTTATATACTGAACATGACATCTATGGTACGGAATATTCCATTGGTCATTCTATTGTTCTGTCTATGCTCCTTCTCAGCTTCTATGGGAAGCTGAAAAGAGTCCTTGAAAAGTATAAACATTGCCTAGCAACAACTAAAACAATATGCATTATTGACAATCCTTTCACAGCAATCACTAGACCAACAGTTAAAATTTCCCAGCTGAAACCAGGGCAAACAGCTGGGATGGACTGAAAGAGCTTGACTCAGTTGCACAGATATAGTTATTTAGTGGCATTTGGGATGTCATAAGGGTATCCCAGAAACCTTTGGAAGTAGCAGAATATGACACAGGACCTATGGCAGACCCATACCCTTCTGGATTGGCTGGTGGAGCCATGTAGGATATCCGTGGGCATTTTGATGTCTGTCTTCAGCTAACTAAATTGATTGTGAAGTCACATTTTCCATGGACAGTGCTGTTCAAGACTGACAAGATTCAAAACTTGAAGTTCTGAAATGGACAATTTGCTCTTTGGTCACCGTTCCTGTGGTGACTAAGCTAGCATTTGAACCACATGCTTTCATTGTGTGGAAACCAACTGTGAGCTCTAAGCACACTTCCCTCTCCATCACCTTTTGCCTTTTGATAATCCTCTGGCCAAAGACACACACCAAGTGTTCTATCTTCCTGTTCCTTCTGGATGCCCCAAGTCTAGGGCCCCTCATGTTACAACTGGCAGAAGGTGGTTTCTTTCACAGTCTTAAGTACCATAAACCCAGTAATTCCTTAGGGCAGAGGAAAAGTTTTATGATGCCACTTTGATGCTAAAAAAAGAACAAGGAGATCAGTCAGAACAAGGAGATCAGTCAGAACAAGCCACTGGGTGGCTGCCTTAGCAGTAATCCCACCCTGGATGCAGAGGGAAGACTGGCTTGCCTTTCTTATTTATTTTCACCCCTCTCATGCAAAGTACCTTCCGTTTGCACCAGATGATGGTCATTATCATTACAAAGCACTCTCCCCTGGATTACTGCAGCTCCAGGATATTTGCCTGACTGTGGAAAATAGACTGAGGAGGATTCTTACTCCATAGCCAGAAAATTTGTTAATTAAGGAGGCTTTCCTGCTCAAGTTCCAAATATCCCTCAGACATGGAGACTCATATTAATGTCTATGTCAGGCACAGTCCAAGCTTCTTTCCAATGGTGGCTCAACCTAATGAATATTTGCAGGGAGCATCGTTTTATGCAAAACCTCCTTCAGTGACAGACACCTCCAGCCTGGATTTATGTGCCTACTTACCATCATTTTACAGCCCTGGACACAGCACTTGCTCAAGACCTTTCCTGTGATGCTAGCCACTCTAAAATGAATATACTCTTCCATCTTGCTTGAATAAAATGCTCTGTAACGAGGAACCCATTAGCAGATATTTTAAAGAAACTGGAGCAGAAAGCCAGATGCTGCATCTGGAAGCAATGCCAAGTAATGCTCGTGCTCTGTTAGGAGGAGGAATGCCTGCTGGCAGGTAACGAGGCTTGGACAGACCAAGGGGCAGACATCATCTGTGGCTCTGAGCACATCCCAAAACATCACAGGAAGCTTGTCCTGGTAAGCAACTGTTTTTTCACGTGATGAAATAGAAAGAGTGGTTAAGGATTTTATTAGTAGTAAGAGCTTTATTACTCTTTTTATATAAAAACAAACGCCAGGTATTCCAGTGAGGCATTTCCTATTAGGAAATAACCTTTTTACCAGTTTCATACCATTAACAATCCAAGATTACACTGACACAAAGCACACTTGACCGAGTTACATCTTACAATTATCCAGAAACTAAAGCTCGATACAGAAGTCAGCTGTGTGGCTGGTAAGTAGGTCATCTGTTGGGAACAGATGTGCTCTTTTATCTGCACTGCTTGCAGTTGGCTTTGACCTATAATGCCCTAAATGTCCTACTCTGCCTATCTAAGGCAGCGTGATGACACAAAAGGGCTACGAATCCTTCACTAATTATTCTCTAAAGGTCCCCTTAACCCGGAATTCATTTCCCACCCTTTTATCTTAAATAATTCTTATGTGTTGGCTTCTAGTCCACACAAGGCTGATCTGTTCTTCCAGACTTGGAAAAGAAATGAAGGCAAGAGGACCTGGCTAATGATAATTTGAATATCATTTGGTTTTGCCTGTGGTATTGGCTTCTAGACCAAATGTTTATTTTCTGCGGCTAAGACCTTTTGTTCAGCAGTTTAAATTTATCACAAAGTAGTTAGTGCCAAGGATTGGCAGAAAGGTGCCTTTACGTGTGTTCCCAAATTTACAGAATGAAAAACCCCACACTGCATTTGTTTAAAAGAATATTAGACAAACATCTTTTTCAGTTGTGCACATTTGTGGTGACATAACTTAGGATCTCAGAGCTCGACATACCTGCTTTCAATGTAGAAACACATTTAAAACCGAGGAAGTAACAATTTCCTCAATTGTGTGGGACTCATTCTTAAGCCTTAATAGGCTCCACAAGTGTTAACTCTTGCATTTATGTTTACATTTTATTTATATATATGTTCAGGATACAGGAAAAATGAGAGAAAGAAAGGAAAAAATTTTCAGGGATACTCAGCATCTTCTCACCTCCTTCCAGTTCAACCCTTATTTGCTTACAACATTAAGGCTGGCAGGAAATGCCTGGGACTTTAGAAAAGACAGAATGTACTTTCTTCTTCAGTTTCTAAAGCGGACAAGGGGTGATCAGTGATGGCCTTCAGCAATGCAGTTAAAAAGAGTGGTGACTTCTTGTTTACAGACACACAGAGCAGTATAGTTACGCCAGTCTCTATAAGGAAAACTTAAGGTGAGCAGGCAGTCCCTACAGGATCACTGCAAAGCCCTTCTCAACTAGCTGATGTGACAAAAAAGGCCCTTTCCAAGCATTAGCAGATAAATCATGACTAACTCTTAATGCATACACAAAACTAGGAACCTGTCATTTCTCCTTTAGTGCACGCAAGACTGTTTATTGTTTTGCACCTAAATTAAAGGTTTCCTGCTTCACACATTCTGCACCTTTCAACTAAAGCAGGCAAATCGAGGGAACTATTTATCCCTGCGCACATTAATCAAAAGGTACTAAACAGAAATTACTGAAGTGTCAAAAATAAAACCAAACACCCAAACCAAAGCAAAAACATGTATCTGCTTTTTGGGTAGAAAACTACGGCTACCTTCAAACACAAGGGAGAAGTATGCAGAAATGCATCCAGTAAACCACTCTTGCTCCCATAAAGGCAGGTGTCTGGTAAACAGCAGGACAGACGTACGTAAGCTAAAGTAAAATATCTGCTAACATATCTTTTTTTATCACATTCTTAAAATTGTTTAAATTTTACCACATTTGAATTGCAGCACTGAATGGAGTGTAAGGAGTGTTGGCAAAGCAGCACTGGAACCTTAATGTGTTTATGAAAGTATATAAATTAATTAATATGCTTCAAACACTTATTGGACAGTGATGGCTCCCTGAGTTCTCTAACTAAAGGGAAATGCAGCAACTGCATGCACACGTTTATAATCATCCCTATGTATATCCCACATCAACAGAAATAGATTTTATATAACAAAGTTCAACGTGACAGTAGAATATGGCCATTTGCTACCAGCTCAAATATCTCTTTGCATTCTTACTTGAGAAGTTTCAGATCTTAGACATAAGCCTCTATTGTTTTCCACTCTAACCGGATGTGTATAACCTAAAGCAGAACAGGAACATTGCAGTTAAAAAATCCGACAGAATTTTATGTCCAATTGGCAACAACTCTAAATGACACCAAATGTGCAAAGCATCCAGTATCAGGTTTAGCTCCGCTGTTGATATACTTAGTTCTGCAGAAATGGAAAAAAAGCTAAAGGTCTGGCTATAGGACAAACTCTATACAAAATGAGTTTAAATAGGATGAGATCACTTTGTTCTCTTCTTCACTTGGCCTTAGCATCAGCAGACGAGCTGAAAGACACAGAACTCGGTCAAGCACCAAAAATCTTACCTCTGCCTGCACCTGGACGTCATCAGGTTTGTTTTCAGCAAATGAAGATTTCCTGGTCTGCCCTCGCCTGTGGCCAAACTTGCATTTGTTTCTCAGGACTTGCTCATCATCTTCAATGGGTCTCCGCACATATTTGAAACGATCTTTAAGGGCCCGTTTCCATAGCAACTGCATGGGAACAAAAAAATACCTGTCATTACCAGTACCTTTCAAGAATTTGCCCCATTCCTAAAGCAAGTCACTTTGTTTTATCTATTTTATAAAAAAGTGTTTGCCACTAAGCAGAAAAAGACTCATAAGGTGGCATCAGGATACAGGTGGCTTCAGAGCTGAGGGAAACACAAGCACCTGTGGTATATGACTCTGTGGCAACTAAACATCGGGGCTACTGGCGCCAGCATCGTTTGTTAAGGAGGACAGTAATTGAACTTAACAGTTAGATACATCCAATATAGAATCATAGAATTACTGAGGTTGGAAGGGACCTTTATGATCATCAAGTCCAACCATTAACCTACCCTGACAAAGCCACTTCTAAACTATGTCCCCAGGTACAACATCTACCCTTTTTTTAAACACCTCCATGGATGGCGAATCCACCACCTCCCTGAGCAGCCTATTCCAATGTCTAATAATACTTTCAGTGAAAAACAGTTTCCTAATATCCAATCTAAACCTCCCCTGACATAACTTGAATCCATTTCCTCTCGTCCTATCACTTGTCACCAGGGAGAAGAGGTCAGCCCCCACCTCTCTACAACCTCCTTTCAGGTAGTTGTAGAGGGTGATAAGGTCTCCCCTCAGCCTCCTCTTCTCCAGGTTAAACAACCCCAGTTCCCTCAGCCGTTCCTCATAAGACTTATAACCAGGGCTGTCAGTTAAACTGCATTTTGCTTTTCCATTTCTCAGCTCTTACTTTGGGATACTCCCAGGTATCACAGGTCATGAAACTACACAGTGAATCAGATCAGTTCCCTGATGCCACAGGAAACTCAGGTAGGGGAGGGGGGAACTGAGTGGATTATTTTTGCCTCTGAGGGCATCTGACTGGTTGTGCAGTTGTATGATTATTGTATCTAACACAAGGGAGCAGGAAAGACACCGTGCGGTGCTGCCTTTCGCAGAGAGCCTACAGTTACACTGGATCAAGTGTAATAAGTTTAAGAAAAACTGAACTCAAAACTGCTGAATTAAGAGGATCGTTTAAGGAGGTCCAAGCATTTGTGAGACTCCTCAAGATTGTAAATTGGAACTCAAAGGCAGCTCTGCACTGCAAGTGGATGCAGTCCCTGTTTAATGGAGCCGTTCATCACTCCTTGGCAGCTGAACCTCCTCATACATCCTTACAGACAGACGGCTGTTCACCTGCAGTCCCCAGTTGGGCATCCTGCAGTGGGACTCACCCGTGCTAACTACCGACATGTGGGGAAGCAATTACTAAGCCAAGGCTGCTAAACATTTCTTCGGGCAAAACCCAGACTTGTGAATATTGAAAACGTTTTTCAGATCCTTAAAAGCAACTGCTTTTTCCAGTTATTGAGGGGTTTCAACAATCAGAGGGAATAAAAATTAGAAAAGTGACTGTAAGTGACGGGACATGGCAAGAGAGATTCAAATAGCTGTTACCATATTTTCTAAAATTGACTCCAATACTATACTCACTTGATACTATACTCAAGCCTGTACTTACTGAAGTACTAAATGACAATGTAAACAGAATAACGATCACTCCAAATTTCTTACCAAAATGGTGTGATTTATTAGTCAAGGTCATATGATCTTAAGAGTTAACTTTGGTGTAAACCATAATTCAGTAAAAGTAGACGAAGTAGTACAGTATCTTTCCATGCAGTGAGTCTGACGCCTGCTTTTCTCACCTACAAGGTACGGATGGGAGGGTCTCTTACGAAACGGTCGTGAATGCAGTGTGACCTTGGTCGTGAATGCAGTGTGACCTTGCCTTTCTCTGGCTGAACATACTGCTCCCACCTCCCACAGGTTCTACGTGACTTACGGGTCCTCAATCCTAAAAGCAAGAGTTCCATTCATGGTGAAAAACGACAGTGGAAGAGCAATGAGAATACAGCCCCTGCGGCATCTTCCTCAGCATTCCTTGGGCAGACCTGGGCCAGCCAGGGCAGGTGTGTCCTTCCCGGTGGGACACTTTCTGCCACCCACCTATGGGCTCTTACAGAAGTTACCCTTTCACAGCCAGCCACATGTGAACTTCTGAGAACTGGAAAGAAAACCAACCCAGCTGCATTTCTAGTATGTAAACTTCAGACTTGGGATTCTGCCAGAACAGGAGTCACTCTGTCACCAACCTGAATATAATGAGTAGAAATGGAGCACAACTGCTCACCCAGTCTTCTCACAAGGCTTATTTACGGCCTCAATTTGAGTGTTACACCCCAGCACCGTTTTCATAAACCAGTAACCTGACTACATGCCTTGAAAAGCCCACTTGGTATCTGCCTGAACGATTAAAGTTCTTAAATACGTTTACAATTCTGGTCCTAGGTGCTTACATTTTAATGCAAATACCCCAACGTTATATGTCTAGCAAAATTTATTTGGAATATTGTTATTTTAGGGCTGTTAAGAAACAAGCAAACAAAAACCTCAGCTTAAGGTTTCTCTGAAGTGTTCAACAGATGTTAAAATATTTTAAAACATGGTCATCCCAGAATATATTAGCAGCTGACAATTTAAATATCCCCCTTAGGTGAGTTTTGCACAGTTTCTTTCTTTTGAAAACTTTTGTTTGGCTAGAAGACATTCTCGCTTATTCTTCCACATGAAAGAATATGCTGACACCTATACAGAGCTTTAAACATCCCTCAAAGTTCAAAACATTCAACTGTTTCATCCTCCTGTCCTCGGATAAATTAAGAGTTTTAACTAAATCTATTGCTGTAATAGGATTCTCATAAGCTTAGCCAAGTCCCTTCTCACATGCCTGTTTCATGAATGAGACTGTGAGCACATACATTTATGTGGCTTCCCTAGCAGGTAATGCTAAAAATGATCTAAAAATGATGCTTTCATTACCATTTTTGAGAGGATAACTTTATTTTCTATTAATTCCCCCCCCCCCAAAAAAAAAACCAAAAACCCAAACCACCCCAGGAAGGTTTACAATGTTTGTAAGAGAGCAGAAGGATTAGTCTGTGTCTATCTGACATAGGAGGGAAAGGATTACACACAGATTAAAAGCAGGAATTTACTAGCGAATAATCATTTTGTGCGCAGCAGTTACATAAATCAGGCATGTCAGCACTGGGATCCCGGGTTTCACCGGCATCACGGCATCGCTCGGCAGCCCTGAGCTTGAGGGGACTGCTTACGCAAAGCCCATGGCAAAGCTGTGCGGATGACAGAGCCCCCTCTTTTCCTTCCTCATGTAAGGTGTTCTTGAAACCATACAATTTTCAACATCTTGGCTGAAATGAAATGAAATAAGGGCAGTGGCTCTTTCCAAATGGTTGGCTGTAACCCTGGTAGAAGCAATAAATACAAATAAAGTAGTATCTTGCAAGTGGTCAGGAAACAGGGTCATGCCAATTTTCTTTTGGCTGCTGTGACTATGAACTTGTCTTTTTCTATATAAACTGTTTATCTGTAACTACTTAGAAATGTTGCATTGGTTACATTATACATTGGATATTTAACAATCTATTTAATGGTTAAATGGAGATTTTTATTTTTTTTTTTAAATGTTTTACGCGTTAGTTTAGGATAACATTGTTCTTTCAGTAGAAGGAAAAACATGGGAAAAATTCCTTAGGTAATCACTAAAGCACTTTTTTCCAAAAGCTAATCTTGGAACGGGGTGGAGAAATTAATTTCATTCCAAATGTTCCATATAACTCTAAAATGAGTTTTGCCTTTAATATAAAATGGGTTTTTTTCTTATTTAGAATTTCAGAGAATTATTTCTTAATTACTGCTTCTAGGGGGGCCTAGTAAATAACCTTCTTTTAAAATTCATAGTACATAAGTAGCTTATTCATAACCTTATTTGTAAACTTACTCATTTAGGATCATTATCATCATCCTGACCATATTGCATTGGATCTCCTTTGCAAAAGGGCTGATGGCACAGAAGCCTATTTTCCCCTACTGCAAAATTAAATGGGAAACCTTTTAACCAAGAAAATAGAATTATGGATAATCTACTAATAAATCTTGAAACACTGAACCTTTAATGACCTCTCATTGCAACAGTATGAGATTGAAAATACTAGACTAAGTTTCTACATAATGCACACATTGTTTAAATTACTTCTTCAAAATAGTTTGGAGTTGTAAATAGAAAGTGTCCAGTGTTTTGGAAAAAAACAAAACAAAATGGAATGTTCAAAGCTTTGCAAGTAAATTTTTCCTGTCATGAAAATGTGTGAATTTAGGCCCACTTAGGTTTGGGGTTTTTTGTTGTTACTCCTCTATGTTTTCCAGCAGATCTTTCCCCTTTCCATTTCCCAAGCCATTTCATTTCCATGAAAATGTTGCAACGAAAGTACTGACACTTCCCATTCAAAGTTTCTCCAAGTTTCTCATTACATCAGGTTCTTTACGTTCCGATTTTCTGTTCTTGGTCAGAAGGAAAAGCTAATTCTGGAATGTCGAGATCTCTCACGGGATGAACTTTCCCTTTCCTCAGGCAGAAAGCCCAACCACCTGCCCCTGCCCACCCACGCCACGCACAGGCGTGCAGACTTGCCATGCAAGAACCCAGAACAGTTTCCACCGCGTCCTTCCAGC